TCGAAGGATTTTATTAGAAATCGAGCTGTTAAGTAAGTAATAAGATTGGTTTCTTCATAACAGTGCCCTTAACGGCCTGTTCAGATGTAAGTGATATTATTCATTAGAATTCATTTTTTATTAAATAATTACGTACGATTCTCGTTTTGACATTGTTTTAAGTAACAGCACTGTTTTAGTGCCTACGTTTTTCGAGTCGATAACATCTCACTAACTGCGCGAACATGCTCTTGTAATGTAACGTTCAAAAGCGAGCATTACCGGTGGTGAGAGAGGTGAGCCGAGCATTCGTTGCGTAAAACATTCGGTAGCCTCATTCACCGGGAGCATTCGCCTGTAATGTAACAATCTGTTCAGATTGTAAGGCTGCGACTCCACTAGGTATGGTGGAAATGTTTTCAAGTCTTTAATTAAGTTAGGTGCCTGCGAGTACCTTTGAGTGGAAGGCACTCACGGGCTCTCAAAGGCACGCGCTGGCACTGAGAGGCACTCAAACGCACTCAAGGGCGCTCAAGACATTCACGGGCACTAAAAAACACTCAAAGGCACTCAAGACACTCAAATGCACTCAAAGGCAGTACAGACACTTCAACGCACTCAAAGGCACTCCTGGCTCTCGCGGGCTCTTAGAGGCAGTCGCACACACGCCTTGCTACCTCGCACATCTCTCGTGGAATAATAATAATAATAACGCACACACTCAGTCCCGCACTAGGGAAACCCTATGTTGCGGGTGCCAGAGACACACACATAGACAACCACAAATTACACCCCAACTCACGAGAGAAATAAATGTAGGCTATACAAATATATCTCCCGGCTCGGGAATCGAACCTGGGACCTCTGCGTGGCAGCCCGGCATGGTAACTGTTCGGCCACAGAGGCAGTTGAATCGCAGCCTAATCGAATCTTGAATGTTACATTACAGGTGAATGTTCTCGGTGAAGGAGCGCTCTTATTCTATACACGAAGCTGAACAAATGTACGAAAATGGACCAACTTAGTAACTTGAAAAAAAAATCCATATAAAATGTTAGACAGCTGATTAATATTGTGTGAGACAATTTTTTTTTAACAAACTACGCATTTAAATAATAGTAAGGTTCACGCAAAAATACAGGGATTTACGGTACTTAAAAGGATTATTTTTATCTCTGCGTATAGAAAAAAGGCATAACAAGCAACGTACTACACGTACATGCTACTAAATTGTATCAATGTTCACAATTAAGCTTAAAATATACTTTGTTTTACTAAATATAAATTATAAACCACGATTAAAAATATGTATCCACATTTTTGGATAAATATCGAGTAAATCTATGGATATTTATCCATATTTATCTTTCCACTGAGTATTTATCCATGACCCATCTCTATTCACGTTAGGACACTAGCCCGTTACACCAAGTACCAAATAGGTCACCTTTATCTCTAAGTGACTTATACAAGTTTATTTTATAATTTTAAATAAAACTTCAAAAGATATTTCTATACGTAAAACATATCAAAATTAAATTTTTCCAATTTTTCGGATATTTTCCGGAAACATTTCCAATTTGAAATTTTTCGGAAAATTACCCAAGACTTAATAGTTAATCATTATAGCAATTTATTTTTACAGAGAAGTCCTTCCCCACATTTACAAGTACCTCAACAAATCATCATCCGAGAGTCTTCTCAAAGACGCGGGCTCAGCGTACCGCAATAGCCAAGCCTATAGCTTGCAAGTGGCCGCTTTAACTGCTCTGCCGAGCTTAGCTATCGACCTTATGTTAAGCGAAGATAGCTTGGAAGACGCCATGAAATCTATCGATGTGTATCTATCTAAAAAACAACCGAAGCCCCTACAAGTAAGTATTGAATATTTTTAACAGAAAATATAGGTACTACTTTGACAACATTCTAGATGGGGCTATCTTTTTAGTTTATGGATAAAGGCACGAGTCTGCCTTTATCCATAGTGTGGTTTGTGTGAAAAAAGTGAGTGACAATGGTAACGCCACAACAAATCGCGATGAAGGTAGTCGTCGACAGCGCAAGAGGGTAGACAGATATGTCTGCTCTTAAAAGTGTCATCTGCCGCCGTCCAGTCAACCCGTGACCATGGAGCGTGCAACCGTTCCGAAATATCGGGAAAATAAAAAGAAGTCGTAGCGTGGTAAAAAACCTGATATTAGTGATAATCATTTAAAAATATATCATTTCAAATCTCAATTTAAAACAAGATGGTTCAATGTAGGAAGATCGAAGAAGAGGTTTTTCGAGAAATATAATGATTGGCTTGCCAATGTGATTGTTTTTACCCTCTACAAGCCGTCTAATTTAAGGAAGAGTGGACGTCTAACGATTTCATTTGAGGAGAGCACCGAACGAACTAATCGCAAAAAAAAACGGACGACTTACGGAAGCCTAGATCTATTGCGGAATTAAATTTTGCCACACAAATGAGTCTGAGGGCATCAGGAAATAAGGATGCTTCAAAATTGTTAAAGGAAATCACTACAACCTCTCCGAAACGGGCAAGCAAATATAGAAAAGCCTACAGAAAATCACTTGAGAAAAAGTCTTGCATGATGTCTGGTGACGATGCTCTAGCTTTACTGATAGACGCTAAGTTGTCGAGACATCAATATAGTTTAATAAGACAAAGCAATCCGGACAGATTTCCTTCATACAAAATGAGATAAAAAAATGCTACCCAAATAATAATACAGAAAGTGAGATATCGGTGGAAGTCCCCTTGCCAGCCCTTCTGAATCATACCTTGTAACGTCTGCTAACTACAGGAAAATGTTCTATCATCACTAAGCAATGAAGAATTGGGAAAACTACAACTAATGACAAAGTGGAGCTTCGACGGCAGCTCAGGTCACAGCTCCGATAAACAGGCGTTCCATGGATGCCAAGCGAGTGATTCATCTGTATTTATAACGTCTCTCGTACCACTTCGTTTAGTATGTAATTCAAAGGACAAGAACTCGAAAATAATTTGGCAGAATCCTCGTCCGTCTTCTACGAGGTATTGCAAAGCTGTGAAAATTGCTTTCACAAAGGAATCAAGAGCAGTTTCTGTAGCAGAAAAAATCGGATGGACGCTGAAATATGTCAGTTGGAAAACACAAATTTGAATTTACACGGTAGAGCTGTTTCAGTCAGTCACATAATGATTTTTGCGATGGTCGATGGGAAGATTTGCAATGCTCTCACAGAAACAACATCTACACAGAAATGTTACATTTGCGGTGCCACATCGAGTGAATTTAATGATATTAACAAAATGATTAATAGAAAAATAACAACGCAGAATTTACAATTTGGGATATCAGTCCTACATGCCTGGATACGGATTTTTTAATGTCTCCTCCACCTATCCTACAAACTCCCAATTCAAAAGTGGCAAGCTAGAGGCAATGACAAAAGAAAAGTTGCAGAAACAAAAAAAAGTATTCAAACTAAATTTAAAGAAAAAACTGAATTGCTCGTGGACTTCTCGAAACCCGGTTTCGGAAACTCGAATGACGGCAACACAGCAAGGCGTTTTTTTTAACCCTGAATTGTCTGCACAAATAACTAAATTAGACGTACAATTGATTAAAAAAATGCACATTATACTGATAGTAGTATCATGTGGACACTATCGACATAGATCGATTCCCCGAATATACACATAATACTGCTCGGCATTTTGTTAATTTGTATGGTTGGTATACACAAATTTCTTATACACGGAGCAGAATTAGTATCCAATGCATTGTTGCCCATTAGCCAAGTGACTGAAGAGGCGCAGGAGGCGCGCAACAAAGATTTTAAGAGTCACCGTGAGCACTATGCTAGAAAATGCAGTCGAGAAAAAACGAATGAAGATATTTTTAACTATCTTCTTCTAAGTTCAGAGACTGACTAGTAAAAGGAAAGAAACAAAACAAAAAATTAAAAACTTACTAAAGGAGGCTATAGACCTATTAGTGGCTCCGATCGTCACTGAATATCAAAACACTGACGACAATACCGACGAAGACGAAGAATCTGATCATGATTAAAATATGTATTAATTTACGATAACATTTTTGTAATATTATCATGATTAAAAATTAAAACAATTAAAACAATGCTTTATGTGTTTTATTTATGTATATGTTACTATATAAACCATATTTATGATTTTTAACGTATGATTCAAAGCAATTAATAATTAATACCAAGTGTTACTGCATCCTGCCCCATTGTGCGCGCCGTCGCTAACAATAGGAATTCTCACGAATTTACGAGCATTTCCAAGAATCCGCGGGTATTCCGAGCAAGCGCGAGAATTCTCCGAAAGTCACGCGTATTGTATTTTCAACTTGTATCACACCCTGAACACTCCACAAAACAGTAGAAACTTATTTACTTATTACTACTACTACGTACAGCAAGGCGCTATCTGCACACACGTAAACGTGTGCGTCTATCTATTTTCTGGTTTGACGTGCACAGTGACTTTATAAAAGCAAACGAATGTATTGTATAATGTAAATAATATGATCGTTACCTATACTAATGATTTTAT